TTCCCAAAGCTCAGGGTCACCTTGCCTGCCAGATCAACAGCAACCTCCAATTGGATTTGTAATTACACACATTCACCCTGCCTACTGCTCAACTCTGTCTACAATTTGGAGTTTGCAAGAAAGTCATTAGCTAGAAAGTCCGAGGGTTACATTGACAGTATGTTAACTTTGGTCTCAGTCAGTTCACCAATAGGGACCTTGTTCTTGTACAGAGCAGTAGAGAAATCTCCACATTACATATTTGCTGTAAAAAAAAAAACCACTCCTGGTTGACTCGTTTAATGGTTGTATCAGTAGGAATGTGACGCCCCATTGTTGTGATGACCATTCTTGTAGTTTTAAGCATTGAAGAGTTTGACTTACTTATTCAAGACATTTTTATATTTATCTCTTTTATCATCTAAAGTTTTTAAGTTGTTTAAACGTTGTTTTATTGTAAAAGATCTGTCAATTAACTTGGAGCTAATGGTGTAGAAACTGGTAAAAACCAAAGAGGACCAGAAAAAAAAGTTAACTTATACCATTTTGCATCAATCAGCTGTTGCGTGGGGTGACCCCAAAGCGCCGTTCACGTCGTCAGTTGGCTCAGCTGGACCAGAGGAAGCCCTACATCACAGCCTGCTTCAGGCAGCTGCCCTCCAGCTTCACAGTGGGATCTGATCATCGCCACAGCAGCTGTGAGAACAAGCCTCTTGAACCTGGCCAGGAGTACGTCTTCTTCCTGCTGGCTGAACTCAATACCACTGCCGGGGTGAGTTGCGTGTTCAGTTCAGTTCAGTTGACTCAGTTTAATTCATTTTACTTTCACAGATCCACAAAACTAAAAAAAAAAAAAAGGATCTTTTGTTGATACCATGAATATGTCCAACTAAATTTAGCACTGATACTCTTGAATATTAAGGCAAAAAGTCTCATTATATCTTTGGACTCTGCCTTGTACGCCACTTCCGTGGCATTCTTTATAGTTCATGTACTGCCTCTTGAGACCTGCCGCTGCTGACAGGTTTAGCCTCCTGCTTTAAGGTGCATGTGTGAACTTAACATGTGCGTATCTTAACATCAACCGAATTTGTCCTGTACAGAAAATGTTTGCTACCAGTCCTTATACCGACACAGTGATGACTCCGGAGCTAGTGGTGGACCCCCTGCCAGTAGAGACTGGGGACGGACTCATATGGGTGGTGGGCCAGTCCTAGCTGTGGTCTTCATCATCTGCATCGTCATTGCCATTCTCCTGTATAAAAAGTGAGTTGGTATAAACACTTCTTCATCTTTTTTTTGGGAGAGTGAAGTTGCACCAGTATTTCGACTAAACTCTGTAAAAGAAATACCTTTTGTTCAACATCAAACAATAGAAAAAGAGCCTCGGGGTAAAGGTTTGGATATAGCGCATTGCTAATTTGAGCTCTAATCTTTATTCTGGAATGAACAATAAAAGCTGATCTTTCCAGCCTTATTACCAACTCATCCTGAGGATTGAACAATTCAGATTTGCATTTTTAGTGTCGTACTCCAGCCACTGGTCTGTGAAAATAGAATAACTATGATCCCATTTCTTTCCTGAATCTGGGTAGATTCACTGCAAATTTTAGGATTTTTTTCTTACAACCCAACATACAGTGTATATTTTCTTGATATTTGATGTTGAACTAGTTGTTTGCTGTGTTACTGGAGATTTGGGCTTTTGCAACATAATTGCATGTTAGGGAGCATGTTTTAAGTGGGGTGTATTTTGTATTCATGGTAGTATGCTGTTCAAAAAAACCCAACACTACTTTTGCATGTTAATGAAATATGAAGCAGCTTTTGTTGTGAAGAAGATGGTTTTGGGAAGTGAGGGGGTTTGAGAAATGAGAGAGGAAGAGATTCTTTGAGATGGTGCTCAGTTAATGTCCTAAGTACAATGCAATCTACTGATGAAAGAGTCGTCCATGATATGTATTTCAATAGGTATCTATTCCAGATAAAACTTTTTTTTTTCCGGAACAAACACAACTTTGTTATTCCAAAGTTGCCCAAGTGACACAAGTTGTTTCAACCAGCATTAGTGTAAGACTTAAATAAAACAAGGAAGCGTTATTGACTGAATACATACTGTATGCTTCAAAGCCCAGGACACTGAGGAATATTCTATTTCTTTAGACTTTTATAGTTCTAGAGCTGCTACGGTAAGGTTCATTTTACATAAAGCAGGCTCTGATGCCAAATGTACATATTAACACTTCTTCACAAAAAGCTATAATTCGTAAGTCTTACACTAATGCTGGTTGAAACAACTTGTGTCACTTGGGCAACTTTGGAATAACAAAGTTGTGTTTGTTCCGGAAAAAAAAAGGTTTTATCTGGAATAGATACTATTGAAATACATATCATGGACGACTCTTTCATCAGTAGATTGCATTGTACTTAGGACATTAACTGAGCACCATCTCAAAGAATCTCTTCTCTCTCATTTCTCAAACCCCTCACTTCCCAAAACCATCTTCTTCACAACAAAAGCTGCTTCATATTTCATTAACATGCAAAAGTAGTGTTGGGTTTTTTTGAACAGCATACTACCATGAATACAAAATACACCCCACTTAAAACATGCTCCCTAACATGCAATTATGTTGCAAAAGCCAAATCTCCAGTAACACAGCAAACAATAGTTCAACATCAAATATCAAGAAAATATACACTGTATGTTGGTTGTAAGAAAAAATCCTAAAATTTGCAGTGAATCTACCCAGATTCAGGAAAGAAATGGGATCATAGTTATTCTATTTTCACAGACAGTGGCTGGAGTACGACACTAAAAATGCAAATCTGAATTGTTCAATCCTCAGGATGAGGTTGGTAATAAGGCTGGAAAGATCAGCTTTTATTGTTCATTCCAGAATAAAGATTAGAGCTCAAATTAGCAATGCGCTATATCCAAACTTTACCCCGAGGCTCTTTTTCTATTGTTTGATGTTGAACAAAAGGTATTTCTTTTACAGAGTTTAGTCGAAATACTGGTGCAACTTCACTCTCCCAAAAAAAGATGAAGAAGTGTTTATACCAACTCACTTTTTATACAGGAGAATGGCAATGACGATGCAGATGATGAAGACCACAGCTAGGACTGGGCCCACCACCATATGAGTCGTCCCAGTCTCTACTGGCAGGGGGTCCACCACTAGCTCCGGAGTCATCACTGTGTCGGTATAAGGACTGGTAGCAAACATTTTCTGTACAGGGACAAATTCGGTTGATGTTAAGATACGCACATGTTAAGTTCACACATGCACCTTAAAGCAGGAGGCTAAACCTGTCAGCAGGCGGCAGGTCTCAAGAGGCAGTACATGAACTATAAAGAATGCCACGGAAGTGGGTACAAGGCAGAGTCCAAAGATATAATGAGACTTTTTGCCTTAATATTCAAGAGTATCAGTGCTAAATTTAGTTGGACATATTCATGGTATCAACAAAAGATCTTTTTTTTTTTTTAGTTTTGTGGATCTGTGAAAGTAAAATGAATTAAACTGAGTCAACTGAACTGAACTGAACACGCAACTCACCGGCAGTGGTATTGAGTTCAGCCAGCAGGAAGAAGACGTACTCCTGGCCAGGTTCAAGAGGCTTGTTCTCACAGCTGCTGTGGCGATGATCAGATCCACTGTGAAGCTGGAGGGCAGCTGCTGAAGCAGGCTGTGATGTAGGGCTTCCTCTGGTCCAGCTGAGCCAACTGACGACGTGAACGGCGCTTTGGGGTCACCCCACGCAACAGCTGATTGATGCAAAATGGTATAAGTTAACTTTTTTTTCTGGTCCTCTTTGGTTTTTACCAGTTTCTACACCATTAGCTCCAAGTTAATTGACAGATCTTTTACAATAAAACAACGTTTAAACAACTTAAAAACTTTAGATGATAAAAGAGATAAATATAAAAATGTCTTGAATAAGTAAGTCAAACTCTTCAATGCTTAAAACTACAAGAATGGTCATCACAACAATGGGGGCGTCACATTCCTACTGATACAACCATTAAACGAGTCAACCAGGAGTGGTTTTTTTTTTTACAGCAAATATGTAATGTGGAGATTTTCTCTACTGCTCTGTACAAGAACAAGGTCCTATTGGTGAACTGACTGAGACCAAAGTTAACATACTGTCAATGTAACCCTCGGACTTTCTAGCTAATGACTTTCTTGCAAACTCCAAATTGTAGACAGAGTTGAGCAGTAGGAGGGGTTGCTGTTGATCTGGCAGGCAA